AACAAAGGGATTTGAAAACACCTCGTGGCTCTCAGAGGGGAGTTTAAATAATGGCGGGGTGTAATCTTGTCAAGAAAATTGAACACAAAACAACACTGCAGTTTAAAATAACATTTCTATCTAGTTTACTATGAAAAAAATGGGCTTTATCTTATTGATATCATCACTTAAAGTTAGGAACCCTTACGCATAAGCTATAAACCTATCTACGTATTATTTGACTTTATAGTCCACTATTGGTCAACTGCTGCCATTTCGACACGCTAGGTGGGAGTATTATGGTAACTTATCAGCGACTATTAAATGACCGTCGTCAATTTAACGTAATGCTGTTGTAACTCCACATCTCGTATTCCACCCGCAATATCTTGGTTGAAACTAGAACAGTTATGACCACTGATAAAGCTTACACCTTAATCAAGCCTTTCCTCAAAAGGACTTTTTTAAAACAGTTCTCAACTGTTTTCGACTAGCACTGTCTTCAGTTACTCAACCCTAAGTTGATTCGCTATGCCTTGTTTGTTTTCAATTACTTGATCCCTAATCAATTCGCTATGTCCCACAGATCTTAACAATAATCGTTAAATGGACTTATATATCCTTACGTCATAGGCTAATTTAACTACTGACGTAACCAGAGACACCTACATGAAAACACAACAAGACACCTACCCAAAGTACAATGGCCTCACACATTTATATTTTAAAATACTACACACACACAAATTAATAGCATGCAGGGTTAGATATAAGAAAAAAAGAAATTGGAACTCACCCTGATTGTGAAAATGCAACGCCATGTGTTATGGAATTCTTATTGTTATAAATTTGGTTGTTTTAACATTAAATACACAGCTATTTTCAGGATCCGCTGGCCTCCGTCCAACACAAACCTATTTTGTACTGCATAAACTATGAAGAATTTGATTTAACAGGTTTCCTCTTACCAAGTATTCGAGCTCGTTGTGTCGAACGGAAGCCGCGTCTCCGGAAAACAGCTGGTTGTGTAGTCTCTTCTGTCCAACGAGAATCACGTCGCGGAGCACCAATTGTTAACTGTGATGGTTATTCTCGCGTCCAGGAAAGAGAAGCTTAAAAAGGAGACTAAATGGAGTCTCTGAGATGTTTTCAAATTGGTACTTTAATTAATAAAAAGCGTGGTACAGTCACAAACAGGATATTGTCCGACAGAAAAGCAGCTGTCTCTGGCCCTCGCTAGCAGAGAAAAGAGGCCGAACCGCTCAGGTGCTGCTCTTATATAGCTTCTGTAGGCTCCTCCCTGCGGGTCGGCCCTCCACATCTTAATGTCCGTTGTTACGTTAAACAGAGGATTCAGGCTTTGTACATTCAATATATACTTAAACACGACTCTTCTCCTCATATTGTCTTTCATCACTTTTCCTTTAACACATTCTAAACGTTGTAGTTAATATTCTAGAAAATACTTCACGGCTGGTTTGGTTTCTGGTCATTCCGGATGTTGTCACATCTTACCCACGTCTGTAAACAATAACTTTATTCAAAGAAACTATACCTTCATTTAATATTCAGCAATAATAATACTTCTATAGTTGCAGTGTTAAAATCAGTAGGTTTCGGTGTGCATCACTCCATGTCATTTCGCTACTAAATTAACCTCTATAAGAAATGGTAAACTAGCCACATGCTAACCGGAGATGACGGATTTTCAGAATAAAAGCTTAACTGGTTGTGCACAATAATTTTCTGGTTTTTCAGTATAAAACAGCATTTAAACTGAAGGTACATTTAAGGTACTTTATGCCATCAAAACATTGATTTTAATTTCTAACAGTTTCTTATGTTAACATAAATAGTTGGTTGTAAAAAAAAAGTTGTAATGCTCAATTTGTATTTGTACACATCACATGAACCTCAGTATGGAATATTACATTACGTTACATTGCATTTAGCTGACGCTTTTATCCAAAGCGACTTACAATAAGTACCTTCGACCAACAAGATACAAACTAGAAGAAAACAGAATCATATAATAGGGCTGCACGGTTTGAAAAAAACTGACATCGCGATTCCCCCCCCCCCCTGCGGTATATATTGCGTTTTTTTTAACCTGTTAAACCCCAAAGTCCCGGCGGGTACTTTACTTTTTTTTTCACGACAGTGTCTCAGGGGATCGTAATATTTAAGAACCTATTAATGTGTTATACCAGATTAACGGAAATAATCTCAGCTAACTGACGATGCAAACCATTTTTACCAAAACAAAACACAAGTCTCATAAGAATCATCTAAATGACCCCTGAGCGAAAAATGCTAACGGACATTGGCACAGAACTCAAGATAAAAGTACCCTTATTACTTATCGTAGCTACACATACAAGATATCCGATAAAAGCTGAGGTTCCACAGATTATTTAGGTATATAGTATCATCACTGAGTGATCTGAACTCGGACAGGGGAAGCAAACACAGACATCACAACACGTACCTTTACGTAGCTTCTAGGGGAGATGTCTCTCCGTAGCTGTCAATCTGATCAAAAGACGTGTTTAATGGCATTAAAACGAGAAAGAAAAAACGCGGCTGAATCGGTTAATCCATAGGTTTTTAACGTCTCTGTATAAACAAATTATTTAATATATAATCCATAATTCAATTGTTATGTAAATATCGCAGAGCAAAAGTTAGCTACTAATGGTAGCTACCAGAGTGGCTGCTGCTTCCGGTCTTAGCTATGCGGAAGTCTCACACACACACATTACCAAATAAGGACTGTGTGATTTCCCCTCGATTCCATTGGCTCTGACGGTCAGAAAGAGATGTCACATGTCAAAATCCAGCAAGGTGGGCCAGAGATATGGAAAATCCACCCAAATGGCCCCAAAAGAGGTTTTTTTTGGTGCTAAATCTGTCTAAAAAGGTCAAATATCCTTGTTTTGCATCAATCTTGATACAGAATGATTGTGATTGGTGGTTTGCTGTGCATGCAGGGACATACACTCTGGTGGCTACCATTAGCAGCTAACTTTTGTGCTCCAATTTTTACATAAAAATTGAATTATGGATTATAAACAATTGCTTCAAAGCCACAGATACATTATCAATCTATGGATCAACCGATTCAGCCGCGTTTTTTCTTTCTCGGTTTAATGCCATTGAACACGTATTTTGATCAGATTGACAGCTACGGTGAGAGGATCTCCTGTAAAAGCTCCATAAACGGTACATGTTGTGATTTCTGTGTTTGCTTCCCCTGTTGCGAGATCGGATAGCTTAGATACTATACTTAAATAATCTGTGGAGTCTCAGCTTTAATCGGATATATTGTATGTGCAGTTTCGATAAGTAATAAGGGTATCTTTATTTTGAATTCTGTGCTAAAGTGCGTTAGCATTTTAAAAAAAAATGAATTAAAACCGCACGTCCCTGCGGTGTGAATACCGCGCATGCGCATACCGCGGTTATCGCCATGACACGTTATATCATTCAGCCCTATCATATAAGTACATCAGGTTTCATAGAGCCAAAACATTTCAAGTGCTACTCAACTGGCTTTAGATAAGCCAGTCCTTTATTAGTATATAAGTGCTTTGTTAGTAATTCTGTCGCTCGAAGTGGAGTCGAAAGAGATGAGTTTTCAGTCTCCCCCGGAAGGTGTGTAAGCTTTCTGCTGTCCTGATGTCAATGGGGAGCTCATTCCACCATTTTGGAGCCAGGATAGCAAAGCCACGTGTTTTTGCTGATGGGAACTTGGGTCCCCTGCACAGTGCGGGTGCAGCGAGCTGTTTAGCTGATGCAGAGCGGAGTGCACGTGCTGGGGTGTACGGTTTAACCATGTCCTGGAATATTAAGTCATTACTCATTCCTGATGTAACTTTTCTGTGGTGAAAGTAGAGTGATAGAACTATTTTACTCCAAATTCTAATTAACACATTTTCATTTTAGACATGAATAACACATTTATATAGGCCTATAGGGTAATTCATATATTTCACTATTTTTGTGAACCAAAGACTTTGGTAAACCAAATCTGAAACACCAAAAAAAACAGTTTTTAAGTTTTCCAAAAATCGGATCTCTAAACTAAGTATTTCATAAGACAGTGCCCTACGGTGAGTGACTTTGCGTTTCTAGAAAGACCAGAGACTGAACATTTTGATAAGTAACACCATACATTATAAGAAGTACATTTAAAAGGTGATTTAAGGAGACATCTAAAAATTGAGAAAATACCCTTCACTTCACACTCCAGAGGGTTTAGGAAAAGGGTAAGGCGATTTTATTTTTAAAAGACAATGAAGGCAGGTTATATTGATTGATATATTTATTATATTGAAAGGCAAATTAATACATAGTCCCATGAATCCGGAATAATGTACAATTCACAGCCTCACAATGTCAGGAACTTTTCATCTACAGATTGCTTTGGTCTGGCTTTACTCTTCACTGATTGGTTACTGAAACTTTGAACTTATACGGACCTCCCCGTTTATTCGCGCGAAAATACGCACGAATCATGGCGCAAATGGCTTTCCATATGTGGCACCCCTGGGATGTGTGACCACATTGATATAATAATTATTATTGTTTGGAGTTGGAATATGCCTTTGTTTTGTACATCTGTCTATTTTCATTTCGTTGGCGGGGTTGAGCAGTGCATTTGGTAGTGTGGCGGAACGTTTGTGTTCCGGGGACTGGTTAGAGGGACGGACTTCCGGGGTTTCCTCAGAAGTAATCTGGAAGGAAACTGAACACAACAGCCTCATCCCAATACCCCTCCTCGACTCCTCTCTTCCCCTCCTCCGGGACTTGACCCGGAAATTGATCAAGACACGCCATGAAGGACGTCCCAATAGCTGAAATGCACACAGAGGAGTTGAGGAGGGGTGAGAGAGGAGGGGTGCGGGAGGAGACGAAAGGGAGGATACACGCGAGCAGACTACGCGGAAGTGTTTTCACTAAAAGCCCCGCCCCCACCTTCACAGCTGGTCGATTTCAACAGAAGAAAACCGACAAATGTAGCTCAGCGTAAGTTCAATCAGGAAGACAACATCATCGGGTGTCACACGTTATTTCAATAAGTGATCAGGGGCATTACGCCCCGGCTAGCCAATCATTGCACCTGCTAACCTCTTTAAATCTGCTCTCCCCTTCCTGTCAGTTGTCATTTCAGGTGTCAACGCACAAGGTAGTAAACGAATAATCCTCCGCAAACACTCAGAAAAGAAAGAAAAAAACCAACAAAAAAAACCACAATGTCTAACACAGACTCCTCCGATAACGAACCGTTTTTCGAAGGATCTTGATCCTGGCTCCGATGTACCTCCGGATGCAGCTTCGAACTCCTCAAGCCTCCTGCCGCCCGCCTGGCTTCCCGTGACAGCTCACAATCAGCAGAAGCAAACTTCATCATCACCCATTTACGGCAGCAGGGTATCTCTGCAGCCTCAGATCTCCCTCTCTCCCAGCTCCGGGAGCTCTCGGACCAAGTCTCCGGCGCGGTCCATCAGCCCAGGGCAGCAGCCCCAGCAGCTCCAGCCAACTCTCCAGCTAACACCCCCGAGAGGCCGGGGCGAGGACGCGGGCGGAGCCGCGGGGGGAAAAGGAAAAAAAAGTCAAGTCCCTCTAGAGCTGGTCCATCTAAAAGGTCCACCTTTCCCCAGGCTCACCCGAGTGTCGCCCAGCCCGGGACCCCGGTAATCAGCCACTAACGGATAGCATAGCAAACTCCCTGCAATCTTTGGCTAGCTCAATGCTGCTAATTGACGCTCGCCTGCAGGCCATGGATAAAGGCCCCGCTGGAGCTTCAACCTCTTCTGCGAACTGGGCCTCGGTCCCCGCTTCGCTGCCAACAGGATTTATGCCGGGTCATGGGGGTTTTCATCCACAAATCATAGCTCCCCCTCACTCCCTGGCTTCCGCACTCCCAGCGCCTCACTCAGGTAGGCCTCATATTCCCCAGAGCGCTCACATTTCCTCTCGGCTGAGAGCGAAAATCCTTGAAGGGAAAGACATTAATTTAGTCAGCCTCATCTTGCCTTCCCCGGAGTGCGACAAGTCCATCGCCGCGGGAGGAAGCATCACTGCCGTTTTTAAGTCCGCAGATCCTCGGCTCCTCAAAGACCTCAACATAGGACAATTTCTGGTTGCTTTCGGCATCTTCCGCGATGTCCTGTGTTCCGTTTACCCGGAAAGAAGAATTGAGTTAGACGCTTATCTGGGCCTCATCGGCGATCTTTATCTTAAATTTGGGAAATCCACGTTCTACTCCTATCACAAGAGCTTTTCTAGCAAAGCAGCGCTTCACTTAGCCCACTGCAACGTTCGCCTGGACTGGTCCGTGCTGGACACCGAGCTGCTCGTGATGGCGACCGGCGGGCAACAAGTTGTTTCATGCATCAGCTGCGGGACGCAGGGCCACACCTCCCCCTTCTGCCCATCAGTGCCTTTCTCCGGGTTCAGAGCTTTTCCTGCGTCACAGTCGGGGAACAATAGACAAAAAAGTCAGGTGCAGAATAGTGCCTGCAGGGAGGCTCACCCGAAGTCAGTTTGCCCCAGGCGCGGGCGCGTCAACTTCCCGCAGCAGAAAACACGTGGGGGAAAAAACTCCTGAAACATCACCTTTCCACCCCCATCAATATCCCACATTTAGCAGCAGCGCTTTCTACTCACCCAGATCCCGTGTTCGTAGAATATCTTCTGTCAGGGCTTTCTCAAGGGTTCAGGGTCGGGGTTATTTCTCCTCCCTCTGTGTCCTTTGTTTCAAAAAATCTGCAATCAGCATCTAAAGAACCCACCATAGTCTCCCAGCTTATCGAGAAAGAACTCAACAAAGGATACCTAATCGGTCCTTTTCACTCACCCCCGTTCTCAGTGTTCCGGACAAGTCCAATAGGAGTAGCCACGCGTAAATACTCTGAGGAAAAAAAGGCTGATTTTCGATCTGTCCGCACCCCGCTCCGGCCCGTTTTGCAGTATTAACAGCCTTATTCCTCCAGAGCCGTTCTCCCTTCATTATGCCTCAGTCGATAACGCAATCAAACTAATCAAGTTTGCGGGGCAAGGAGCCTGGCTCTCCAAGGCAGATATTACTGACGCATTCAAGATCATTCCCATCCATCCATCCCAGTGGAACATGTTCGGTATTAGGTGGGAAGCTAAATTCTACTTCGCGGTTTGCTTGACTTTCGGGTGCAGAAGTAGCCCCTGTATTTTTAATTCCTTTTCCGAAGCTCTCTGCTGGATTCTGCTGAATAATGTCAGGATTCCCTCCGTTCTCCACTTGCTGGACGATTTTCTCCTCATAGATCCCCCTCGGGATAACTCAGGCGCTTCCCTGGCAAAACTCAAATGCTGCTTTCAGGAGCTAGGCGTCCCCCTATCCGGAGAGAAAACCATAGGACCCGACACAAGCTTGGAGTTCTTAGGCATCACACTCGACACTATAGACATGAAAGCATCTCTCCCCATCGCCAAACTGCAGCGCATACGCGACATCACTAAATCCTATTGCGAGCAACAAGTCATCACCAAACAACAGCTGCTCTCCCTCCTCGGGCACCTCAACTTTGCCATGCGCGTCATCCCCCAGGGGCGCTCATTCATCTCCCGCCTCCTGGACGCAGCGTCGGCTGTAACAAACCTCCACGACCGCGTGTTTCTAGACGAAGGCTGCCGCTCAGACCTATGCTTCTGGTCTCTCCTGCTCGCCCACTGGAATGGCATCACCTTCTTTTACGACGACCTCGTGTACTCCTCTGATTCCATGAGGTTTTTCACGGACGCTGCCCCATCCGTGGGTTTTGGGGGTTTCTTTCAGGGAGAGTGGTTCGCGGGCCCGTGGCCTCCCTCATTCCCTCCCTCAGGTCCGCGCTTAGGTTTAACCCTGCGGGCGCAGGTTGCGGACACAGGTCCGCGCTTAGGTTTAACCCTGCGGGTGCAGGTTGCGGACACAGGTCCGCGCTTAGGTTTAAACCTGCGGGCGCAGGTTGCGGACACAGGTCCGCGCTTAGGTTTAACACTGCGAGGGCAGGTTGCGGCCAGTGGGTCTGCGTCATGTTAACCCTGCAGTGCAGGTTGCGGCCAGTGGGCCCGCGCATGTCTAACCCCGCAGCCCGGAAGCGATTCCGGCGCTCATCATGTCCCCATGTTAATCTCTCTTTTCATCCATAGATCTCCGCAGCCAGCCGCAAGGTAAGGATTGCTCACAGCTCCGTACTTCATACTTCACTTCTTTTGGGGGTTCATCAGAGCGGTTCTTTCCCTCCTGAATGATCATCCTGCAAACCCGGGGCCTAATCGCCAAAACATCATTACAGTTACTTGTTGTAATACGTCAATCACTATTCCCGCATATCATGTGTCCCGATAATAAACATGTACTCATACATCACGTCTCTCCTGATTGAAATGTAGCTCAGCGTAAGTTCAATCAGGAAGACAACATCATCGGGTGTCACACGTTATTTCAATAAGTGATCAGGGGCATTACGCCCCGGCTAGCCAATCATTGCACCTGCTAACCTCTTTAAATCTGCTCTCCCCTTCCTGTCAGTTGTCATTTCAGGTGTCAACGCACAACCCTCCTCCACCCCTTCGCCTCCTGTCTCCTAAATACAGGGCCAAGCTAAACCTTCTCCCTTCAGATCGGACTGAACTACTATCACCACCACCAGTGTCTAGACCCCGGGGGGTTCATCAGAGCGGTTCTTTCCCTCCTGAATGATCATCCTGCAAACCCGGGGCCTAATCGCCAAAACATCATTACAGTTACTTGTTGTAATACGTCAATCACTATTCCCGCATATCATGTGTCCCGATAATAAACATGTACTCATACATCACGTCTCTCCTGATTGAACTGGAAGATGAGTGGAAAAAGCGTCACATAATAAAGTGCTCACAGCTCCGTGGGAATTATTATGTGCAATACATTTCTAAAAGGCTTTCACATTACTATAATTATATTTTTATTTAAATGTAGGCTACATTTTACACCAAAACGGAACACAAAAGCAGGACCAACCTAGGGTGACCAGATGTCCCGCTTTGCGTGGGACTGCACAGCATTTTCACGACTTTTGGTGCGTCCCGCAAATTGAGACCATGTCCCGCATATTTCCTTTTGATTGGCTAAAACGCTTTTCTTTAAAATCAGATTTATCCAATGGCTGTTGAGAAAGCAGGGAAGGCTATCATCACGGGGCTGTGTTTGCTGTCAATCAAACTGTAACACACGGCGGGTGCTGGTCAAGTGTTAACCAATGAGAGTAACTCACTCACACACACCCCCCCGCGGCCCCGCCAAACAACAACAACGAAAGTCAGTCAATAACGCAGGCGACGCAGCAGGTTATGGAAAATGGAGGAAACTGAAACTACAGCTAAGAAGAAAAGAAGATGCACATACAACAAAGACTGGGAAGACACGTACCCGTGGGTGAAGCCAGTGCAGGGCGACTCTCAGAGAGTTTTTTGCAATCTTGGCAAGAATAATTTTTCAATTTCACATGGCGGTGAATACGACGTCAAAAGACACAGAGAATGCGATTCTCACAAGAAACGTGTCGCTCAAAAAGAGACATCCTACTCTATGGAGACATTCTTACTCAAACCAAAAAATGATGGCCACTCAGACAAGGTAACAGCAGCAGAAATAACCAGTGTTACCATAGTGACTGTGGTAACAAGCTAGCGCCGACCATTTTTCCAGACTCTGTCATAGTAAAGAAAATGTCATGTGGTCGTACAAAAGCAGCATCCATAATAACAGATGTGCTTGCCCCTGCCTCTGTGGAGAGTTGTTTGACAGAGCACCTGCTGTTGCTGTGATGGACAAAACTGAAAGCTATTTTATTTTATGTATTATTATGTTTTTGTTCCCTCCTGGCCAGTTTTGATTTGTACTTATGGTTTTATTTTATCTATTAATTTATGTTGTGCCTACTTGTACAGGTAATACACTAGTTGAATTAGGAAGATGCATTTCTAAACACTTGAAGTGAATAATGCCTGCTGCCTTGGTTAGCCTTAGTTTACTTTTCTTTATTAAGATACTAAATTGTTACTGCATTTTAACCTCACTTTCTGTCATTGTTTATTGGATGCTGTTGAATAAACCAAATGAAACAGAATAGAAATAGAGATTTTTTTCCAGGGGGGGGTTGGGTGCTGTTGAGAGGGTGTCTCAACAGTTACTGTTTAATCTTCACATCTTGTATTCATGTGTATAATTTTGAGCACCACATTATTGAAAAGTATCGATAAGAGTATCGAAAAATACCGATACCGATAAGCAGTACCGGTATTGATAAAATCCTAATGATACCCATCCCTAGTAAATACTGAAAACGTGACCCACAGACCCAAACAGCACACAAAGGTTAAAGGTAAGCATATAATAATGTTAAAATGTGCTAAATATATACACTGCAAAAAACAACAAAAGAGGAGTAAAAGTAGCTCACGACTTGTTTTGTATTTTGAAAGTAGCTCTCATCCTAAAAAAGGTTGGAGACCCCTGCATTAGAGCGTAAACACTGTAACTACAGATGGAGCACTCCAGATCAGACTCAGATGGGTGTGTCCCAGTCAAAAGCCCAGCGGATGCCAGCGGCTGGGGGTGTTGCCAAATTGCTATGAGGGCGTTGCCCAATTTCCCCATTTGTTCAATTACAGGATTTAACCATGAGATGGTGCTTCATTCACAAAATACACAAAGACAACTGTTTGCAATGTTTGCAGCTCTGCAGTTGTGTTTGCTGAATACTGTAGCATTTAATCACTTATTTGTTACTGTATGGTTTTCACAAGCTACCTTAATGAAAAAACATCAATATTTTAGATCAAATAAAGTATATAATTTGCTTTATGCAGTATATTTCTTGTAATATTGTTGGGGTGTTTTACACAGTACAGTAAATCAACTTATACATTAAGATAAGATAAGATGGACCTTTATTAATCCCGTGGGGAAATGCAGTAGTTCAAACAGCAACAGGGTGAGAGTGAAAAACAGGACAGCACAGATTCACACAGATTAATCAAATCAAAAATAAGATGAGCGATACAAATAATAATAATGAGAAACTATGAAATAATAAATGAATAAAACTAAAATGTAATTATCATATCATATATTATAATGTATTGTATTATTAAGTAATATCATACATTAACTCCATTATAGCAGATGCCACATTGAATGGATGAACACATTTATGCATCAATAATTACAAAAAAGAGTATTTCTAAATACAAGTTGTAAAAATACTTATATGTATTTAATATTAACCCTTTGGAGTCGACCGTCACGCCGGCGTGATCAGATCACATGACCTGTGCCGCATAAAAACAACAGTCCGGACAACATTGCCGTGTGTTTCTGTCAAAAGTACTGGCTTGAAACTATATCCCAGTCTTTGTTTCATGCAAAAAGACCCAGTAAACATGGAGATACGATGATATAAAGTTAATACATTTCAAAAGTATGAAAAATGGAAGCACATATTTGAATATCTCCGCCGTATTTTATCATTTTACGAAACGGAAAATACTGGAAACTGTAGATCCTGCTCAACAGGATGTATATGTGTATTTCTGTCGAAAGTACTGGCTTGAAACTATATGCCAGTCTTTGTTTCATGCAAAAAGACCCAATAAACACGGACATACGATGATATAAAGTTAATACAGATATATTTCAGAAGTATGAATAATGGAAGCACATATTTTAATATCTTCACTGTATTTGGTCATTTTACGAAATGGAAAATACTGGAAACTGTAGATTCTGCTCAGCAGGATGTATATGTGTATTTCTGTCGAAAGTACTGGCTTAAAACTATGGCCCAATCCCAAACCACTCCCTCGACCCTACCCCTCCGTGACGGAGTGAACTCCGTCTGTAGCCACACTCGCAGCTCAACGAGGCTTCCTCCTGTCAGATGGATGGAGTAAATACAGCAGCAAGCTTTGAGACGGCCTCCCCTCTCTCCGGCAGAAACAGGAAATGCCGTAACTGTATGTAACAACGGTTTCAAATCAGCATCTCTTAGACAAAAAGTTTAAATTAATAACTAAAATAAAACTCCAAACATCTTTCATTGTGTTTCAAAGCTCTTTTAGTTTTAAACCTGATGTTTATAAGCTTCTTAGCTTTTGCAACGGTCTGTAAATATACACAACTTTATAATAAAATGCACAATTTTATCTTTTTCTAGACTAAACACAGGTATGATCCTACGTTAAAAACATATGAGGTCATCATGAGGTTGTTAACATCGCAGTTTATCAGTGGATGTTGGCTGGAACTACTTTTTAACAGCTTGTTTCCTGACGGACACACACAGCGTGACTCCGGTCAGGTAGAGACCGGTCTCAAGTCAGCACCGCTGCAGACTCGCTGTTTGAGGGCTTGATAGCCCACTCCCCCTCCACACCGCTCCACACTCGTTGCTTTGGAACAGCCCTTAATATGGCGGACCCTCCGCGTGAACGCGCAAACGGAGGGGTAGGGGGTAGGGGTAGGGTGTAGGGGGCGGTTTGGGAATGGGCCAGCATGCCAGTCTTTGTTTCATGCAAAAAGACCCAATAAACACGGACATACGATGATATAAAGTTAATACAGATATATTTCAGAAGTATGAATAATGGAAGCACATATTTTAATATCTTCGCCGTATTTTATCATTTTACGAAACGGAAAATACTGGAAACTGTAGATTCTGCTCAACAGGATGTATATGTGTATTTCTGTTGAAAGTACTGGCTTGAAACTATATGCCAGTCTTTGTTTCATGCAAAAAGACCCAATAAACACGGACATACGATGATATAAAGTTAATACAGATATATTTCAGAAGTATGAATAATGGAAGCACATATTTTAATATCTTCGCCGTATTTTATAATTTTACGAAACGGAAAATACTGGAAACTGTAGATTATGCTCAACAGGATGTATTTACAAGGGAGGGGGTGAGGTAATCAGGTAAACAGAGTGATAGGGACGGGTGGCCCAGTCGTCTGTGCGTTTGATCATCAGATCAAGGGGGCGTTGGGGAACTCCAGTTTGAAACCCGCTCCCGCCCCACTGCGTCAGGCCGTTGAGTCCTTGGGCAAGACACTTCACCCGGATTCGCTCCTGTGGGTATTGTCCACAGTAGATGACCATTACATGTATGATCTGTATGTGTAATGTGTATTTGTAAAGAGCTTTGAGAGTCATTGATAAAGCGCTATAATAAATATAAGGATTATACGAAACGAGACGAAGAGAGATGGCGGGAGACTGCGATTGAAGTAAAGTGACAGACAAACATTGAGAATTTAGATATAGTTAGATAGATTTAGAGTTTTGAAGATTCAACTATGATGAAGAGAACTCTGAACGTGAGTCAAGCTTTAAGCTTGTTTTTTGACATGGAGGAGGAGGAATCTGTGATGTTGCCCTCTGTGGAATGTGACCCTTGGGAGAATTCCTCCACACATTTGCGGAAGTTTATGAAGAGTATTGTGCAGAAGATGTGATGCAGCATATTTTTGGTATATTCATTTTAATCTCACCAATATATAAGAGGTGTATTGCATCATGTTATCCCTAAATATATGTGTGGGTATATACATTCCTGTGTATTAATAGTTGAAGGAACAAAATACATTTTTCCTCTTAAATATAGAGAGGTTTTTTATAGATTCCTGAAACAATGTTCCCTTTTTCTTTAAAGTAGATTAGCGCAATAGTCTTTTTCTTTCACTTATAACCTTTTCATCAAAAGGCTATTTTTGAGGGGTAAAATGCAGAATTACTTGTGAGTTCTGTTTTGAGTGAAAAGATTAC